CACTTGCGAGATAAGAGGTCAGAAGTTATGCCTACGTAGTGACTTCAAGGCTCAGGCTGCTACATGAGACCATATTTCAAAAATACAAAATAATATATATTTTTAAACATATATCATATATATGGTATCTACAGTCAGAGATTTAATAATAAGTTAGTTCCAAGACAGTAAGGGTCCAGAGTGAGACTAGGAACACCAATGTTATTATTATATCTAAATTTAATTATTTAAAATATCAAATTAAAAATAATTATTACTTTTAAAGAATAAAGGTTAAAGTTAAAATAGAGCTGGAGTGGGGGTTTTAGCTTAGTAGTAAAATGCTTGCCTAGCATGAAATGCTTAAAATCTGAGGTTTAGTTTGACAGAACATTGCAAAAACTGAACAAACTATATTTGTATATCAATGTTCAAGCATTATTTACTACAGCCAAATGTTAAAATAGATGATTGTGGAAATTGGGTGGAGGTGGCGCGGGCCCGTAATCCCAACACTTGGGAGGCAGAAGCAGGTGAATCTCTATGAATTAGAGGCCAGCCTGGTCTACAAAGCAAGTTCCAGGAGAGCTAGTGCTGCTCCACAAAGAAACCTTGTCTTGAAAAGAAAAAACAAAAAATAAAAACAAACAAAAGACTGGGAAGGCAGAAGAATCTAAGTTCAAGGCCAGCCTGAGGGAGCTCCTGGTTGGCCAGGGCCACACAGAGAAATCCTGTCTCAAAAAACAACAAACACAAAAAAACAGCAAAAAATAGATGACTAGATTAAACAACAACAAAAAAAAAAAGATTTATTCAGCCAGGCCGTGGTGGTGCACCTCTTTAATCCCAGCACTCGGGCAGGCAGAGGCAGTTGGATCTCTGAGTTTAAGGCCAGCCTGGTCTACAGAGCTAATGCCAGGACCCAGGACAGGCTTCAAAGCTACACAGAGAAACTCGTCTCAAAAAAAAAAATTATTCATTTATTATGTACATAGTGTTCTGCCTCCATGTATTCCTATACACCAGAAAATGGCACCAGATCTCATTACAGATGGTGGTGAGCCACTATGTGGTTGCTGGGAATTGAACTCAGGACCTCTGGAAGAGCATGCAGTGCTCTTAACAGCTGAGCCATCTCTCCAGTCCCCTAGATTTTCTTTTCTTTAATGTATTCTAAGGGCTAGAGATATGACTCACTAGTTAAAAGTGAGTACTACTCTTACAAAGATGGTTCAACAATTAAGAGCACTGCCCGCTCTGCCAGAAGTCCTGAGTTCAATTCCCAGCAACCACATGGTAGTTCCCAGCCATCTGCAATGAGATCTGGTGCCCTCTTGAGGAAGAGACCTAGTCAGTCATCCTCATCAACTTAGACCATAAAACCCAATACAGACAAGTTGAACAGAACTGCCATGCACGGGCTGCCCATGCATGTTTCAGCAATGCCAGGGCATAGATTCCATTTTTCATTCACTTCTCTTGCAGAGGACCAGCATCCACATCAGGTGACAACTGCCTGTAACTCCAGTTCTATGGGGTTCAATGCCTGTGGCCTCCATAAGCATCTACACTCCCTTGCACATACCCACATGCAGACTTACATACATAAGATTAAAAAAAAATATTTTCTTTCTTTTTTTTAAATTTAGCTCAACTTTTCATCATGTCTTCAACAGAATATATATCTTGCCTCTGATTAAACAATTTCAAAGAAAGGGGACTCTCACCCCCAGAGGCAATTGGTTCTGTCTTTTTGTTGTTAAGATTTATTTATTAATTATGTATACAGTATTGTCTGCATGTATGCTGAAGGCCAGAAGAGGGCACCAGATCTCATTACAGATGGTTGTGATGTGGTTGCTGGGAATTGAACTCAGGACCTCTGGAAGAGCAGTCAGTGCTCTTAACCTCTGAGCCATCTCTCCAGCCCATAAGTTAAAAATTTAAAAAATTAATCTGTTTTTAGGTACTCTATACAGGATGAAATACCATTTAATTAGAAGAGAAATAAAATTCTGATACATACTATCCTATCAATCAACTTTAAAACGATTATACCAAGCCAAACAGGCCAAACACAGAAAGGACCATATTGTATCATTTCATTTATATTTGAAACACAAACGCAAAGAGAAAGTAAAAGTTACCAAGGGTTACATGGAAAGTTACTTGTTCAGGTTACAGAGTTTCTGACAGATGAGGTGAAAAGTTTTAGCAACAGCCATTCTTGGTTGCAATGGTTTGTGACTGTTAACTAATGCCGCCCTGAACTGTAAACTTTAAAATGGCTTAAAGGGTAAAGTTTTGTTACAGTGTATATAAAAATATACATTTGGTATAATTTTAAAGAATAGCAGTATAATGTGGGGTGAGGTGACATACCCTATAACCTCAGTAGTCTGTAAGAAAAAGGCTGCAGGAGTAGGAATTCCAGGCCAGTCTGGGCTACATGAAACTATCTTAAAAAAAGAAGTGAAGTTGCCAGGCTTGGTGGCACAGGCTTTAAATCCCAAAACTAGGAGGCAGAGTCTTGTGGCTCTTTTGTGAGCCTGGGAGCTATAGTGAGCCTCTATCTCACTCTAGTGTGGAAGGGGAGGGGGCTGCTAGGGGAAAAGCTCAATTGGTAAACTGCTTGCTGAGCAACTATAAAAAGCTGAGTTCAATAGCCAGTACCAACAATAAGAAGGTAGGAGTGAGGGTTCATGCTTGTGATTTCAGCACTGAAGAGGTGAAGACAGGAGAATCTTGGAGATTCAATGGTGGCAACCTTGCAGAATGAAATAACCAACTCGCACAAGTTGCCCAACCTCTCAGAATAAAGTTTGCACTATCCTGGGCAAAACTGGGAGTAAAATTATTATCTCAAAGGAAAAAAGAGCAATAGTGGTGGCTAATATTTAGTGAACACTTTCTGCACACCAGACATTGTCCTAAGAGCATTACAAGTATTACATAGCTCAATGGGAGAGCACTTGCTTAAAATTAACAGAACTGTGGGTTCAATTTCTAGTATCAGAAGTTGGGCATGGTATCACATGCAAAAATTGTCCAGTAGCACAATAAATAATCTATCTCACCAAAACAACAACCCCACACAAGATGAAGAACTGAAACTTGGGAAAGGTAAACAATTTGTCCAATGCCAATGAGTACAGGGATTCAATGTCTGATCTCTGAAACCCTACAGTTATCAACTCTACTATACTGAGTTCCACATCACGACAAAACTGTTAGAAAAGGCACCCAGACCGGGCTTGTAGGCATGCATTTTTAATCACACCACTCTAGACACACAGGCAGGCAGATCTCTGTAAGTTCATGACCAACCTGGTCTACATAGCTAGTTCCAGGCAAACCAGAGCTGTATCATGAGACCCTGTCTTAAGTAAGTAAATAAATAAATAAAAACTGTTCAATACTTTTATTATTTATGTTACTGATTCTGAATCAAGTCAATAACATCATTTTATACATTTAAGCATGATGTCAAATTTGTTTGAAAAGTACCCTGAAAGGTACAATGGCAGAACACTTTAGCTTAGAGTACATTATTATATAAGCTCTCCTTAGCAAGGAACGACAGCAATCAATTGTAGTACTTTGAAAATACGAGCAGAAAGATTAGGAATTTAAGGCAAGCCTAGTAGATTATGAGAAACCCTGTCTCAAATAGACAGAAAAAAAATGTTTGTTGGGGACAATAACTTTCCCATTGGAAATTCTTCCCTATGTGAAGGGCTACAAAAACCATACACTCAAGCCTGGTAACAAACTTCTGTAAGGAGGCTGGGGCTGTTTGCAGCTCGGTGGTAGAGAACTTGCCTAGCAAGTGTAAAGAAAGCCCTGGACTCAATGACCTGCAAGGATGTTATGACTGCTCAGAACTGAGTCCTACCTGTCCTAGAGATTTTATAAATAGATTATATATACTTATATGTAATCCTATAGATTTTAAACATAGGTAAGTATTTATGTAAGTGTACTACTTAAGGAGTTAAAATTCAGATTCAATTTTCTTAAGTGTCTCAATGCAGTTTAGGATGGCCCCAAACCTGACATCCTCCTACCTCATCCTTCTAAATGCCAGGATTACAAGTATGCTCGCACACCAGAGATGGCATTAGATTCAACTTGTACGCTTCCTCAAGATGGTCATACAGCACTCGTTACCCTCCACATCGTCACTGTTACTCGCCTTGACACCTTTCCCTTTGATCCGCACAAGCTTGGCAACTATGGCATATTTAATCAACGGGAAGTGGGAAACTAACAAAAGTCCAATTAGTCTCAAAGTCTGAACTTAATAAGCAAGCCTAGAATGTGCAAAAAGAAAAAAAAACTACCCCCAGGTTATGTGCCCTACAAATCAAGCCGTTTCTTTTCATTAAAAAACGCAGCCCCACACTCATTAGCTCAACGTCAATTCTAAAGTTTAAAACGCATTATTTACAAGGCCAAAAGGAACCTAAAGCAGGAATATGTGGAAATATCACTCTCCTCCTACATTCGCCCAACGGGTGCAGACCCCACCAGTCACCCTCGCCAGCCTCCCGGTTCTGAGCTCTCGCACCTTCCTGACTGGGCGTCTGGGTGGGCGGCCAAGGTTACTTGCAGGGCACAAGAACTCCGTAACCAGTGATGTCTCCGAAGTGGATCACAAACACAAGGGAAAAGAGAAAGAGAGAAGCCCGCCTGCAGCTCCACGGAACGGAGCGCCGAAGCCGCTACCTCGCGCTGGTCCCTCACCCCACAGCTGGCCGCTCCGCGAAGGGACCGGTAATTCTACCGCCGCCTCGAGCCCCGCCCCGGGCCCGCGACCGTTCCGGGGCGTTCCGGCCGCGAGCAGCGCCTCCCTCAGCACACCGCCGCTAGGCTGTCTTCGCGAGCGAGGCCGCGGCCGCCCCGTGTCTTCGAAGTCACGGCTTCTAGGCCGCGCGGGCCCACGATTACCGGAGCCGTCCGGACAGCTGAACCTGTCCCAGCAGCTCGGGCACGCCCTCTCTCCTGTCCTGGGCCCTTACCAAAGCAGCGCAGCCCCCGCGACCCGCTCCTCCTCCTCAGCGGCCGCCACGGACCCAGCGTCGCGGAGACCGGAACTTCCTCCCGGTGGGCTCCGGCTTCCACAAAGGCGACGCGCCACCGCCTTCAGCGCGGGGCCCGCCGGGAGATGAAGTACGGACGCAAATCCCGCGGCCTCCACTCCCGCCGTGCTCCGCGCGCAAGGGCTTTGTCGGCTGGTGGAGCCGCTGCCCAATGGAAAGGCACGCTGCTAGCCCCTGCCCAATGAGAAGGCACGCTTTCCCGCCCGTGGGGCCTGCTGGGAGTTATGGTTTGGCCTCCCGTGGTGTAGCGGCTTGTTTTCTGGTGCTATCCTCGTAAATGTGCTGGATGTACTGGAGGCTTTGACATGACATCCCTAGGTTTACGCTCCGCCAGGTGCTCCGGGCTCGTCCTGGTCTTGCCCCAGTGGAAGGAGACTGATTGTTAGTTCGTGTGCAGAAAATAGGACACAGTCTTTTCCGACTTAATCCGATAAGGCAAAGGGCTGCTAGCCATTCAGGTACATCGTAATTCTAACCGAAAACAAGACAAAACTTCTGCTTCACAACTTCTCCCATAATTTTCCAGCTAACGGTTTTACAACAGATGACTCCAAGTTTAGAGGTAAATTGTCTACATTGAGCGGCTTGCTGGTCCCAACCACCTGGTGTCATGACTGAAGGGACTCTGGCCAGCTCGAGCTTGGCCGGCATGGCTCTGGGAAGCCTGGCCCTTCTCCCATTCACTCTGCCTTGCTCAAAACCATTAGATTACATTCCTAAAGCTAGCCACCATGGTCGGTTTCCTTATTTGACCACTTCCTCTTCCTGAGGCTGACTACCAAAGTCCAGCTATCAAAGTATTAAAGTCCAGCAATCAAAGCTCGTAATTAACATGCCCAATCAAAATTGAACACCTCATCCTAACATAGGGTTTCCCCTTTGTAAACTGCCATCTTCTTAAGTTCCATATCTGTTTCCTCTCCATCCAGAGGTAGCCCTTTGTTCTCTGGGGCAAATAAAACTTCCCCCCTCATCCTCCTGTCTGTCTCTTTATTTCCTGCCCTCTGTCACTCCTTTGTACGGAGAACTTGGTTTGGGTCCTGAACCAATACTTTACCTTTCAATGTCTGCATGCCCCTGTCGAATATATCCTGATATTGTAACCGAAATTCAACACTATAAGATCAAAGGAGGAGGACTGGAAAGATAGTTAGAGCACTAGCAGTTCTTGCCGAGGTTTAATTCCCAGAACCCACATGGTGCTTCGCAACCCTCTGTTCTTCTGGTAACAGGGGATCTGGTGCCCTCTTCTGGACTCTGAGGGGACTGTACATGTATGGTACATAGATATACATAGCTCAGACAAAATATCCATACATATAAAATAAAAATAACGAGCGGTGGTGGTGCATGCCTTTAATCCCAGCACTGGCTCCTACCAGTTCTGGAGCCCACCAGTTCCTAGCCCTTCGAAGGACTTAAGAATCACACTGTGTGGTGGCGCATGCCTTTAATCCCAGCATTCGGGAGACAGAGGCAGGAGGATCTCTGTGAGTTCGAGGCCAGCCTTGGTCTACAAGAACTAGTTCCATCAAAGGCTCTAAAAACCAGAGAAACCGTGTCTCGAAAAACAAACAAACAAACAAAAAACAAACAAACAAAAAAGAAACGTCATAATGGAACCTATTGGGGGCTGGAGAGATAGCTCAGAGGTTAAGAGCACTAGCTATTCTTCTATTCTTCCAGAGGTCATGAGTTCAATTCCCAGCAACTATATGGTGCCTCCCAGGTATCTATAAAGAGATCTGGTGTCCTTTTCTGGCATGCAGGCATGCAGAACGCTGTATACATAGTAAATAAACAAATCTTAAAAAAATAAAATAAAAATAAGCCTTCAATTAAAAAAAATGATTGGGGCTCAGAGGTTAAGAGCACTGGCCGCTCTTCCAAAGGTCCTGAGTTCAATTCCCAGCCACCACATGGTGGCTCACAACTATCTGTAATGAGATCTGGTGCCCTCTTCTGGCCTGCAAGCGTACATGCAGGCAGAACACTGTGTGCATAGTAAATAAATAGCTCTTTAAAAAAAAATCAATAAATGCTGCTCCCATAAATGCCCATTAAAAAGCAGGGCAAGGATCCAGACAGTGGTGGTGAATACTTTTAATCTCACCACTCAGAATGCAGAGGCAGATAGATATCTGAGTTTGAGGCTAGCCTAGTCTACAGAGTGAGTTCCAGGACAGCTACACAGAGAAACCCTGTCTGAAATAAATCACACACACACACTCAACGTTCTCTCAGGCTGGCCATCTACATATCTGAAGCGCGATTCTAATTAATTGTTTTTTTTTTTTTTTTTGGTTTAGGGTGGTTTTTGTTTTTGTTGTTGTTTTGGGTTTTTTGTTGTTTTGTTTTGTTTTGTTTTGGTTTGGTTTTTTTTTTTTTTTTTTTTTTGGTGTTTTGAGACAGAGTTTCTCTGTGCATCAGCCCTGACTGGCCTGGAACTCTCTTCTTTGTAGACCCGGCTGACCTCAAACTCACAGAGATCCACCTGCCTCTGCCTCCTGAAAGCTGTGATTAAAGGAGTGCACCACCACCGGCCAGTGATTCTAATTAGTCTTAACAATAAAAACCCGGAATCAGATATCAAGAGTAAAAGCTAAAAGATCAGAGACACAGAGTAGCTACCCACCAGAGACTTCTTACCTCTCTGAATCCTTAGACCTAATGGGGGCAATTCTGTCTCTACAAATCCTCAGACCTCCATGGGTGCTGAGATTCTGTCTTCACCTGCCTTATACTCCTGTCTCCATCCCCCTAGTGCTGGGATCAAAGGCATGGGATCCTAAGTTCTAGGATCAAAGGTGTGAGCTTCCACCACTCAGTTCTGTATTATACTGGTTCAGTTTCCTGTAGCCCGGGGTGGCCTTGAACTCCTGCTTTTCCTACTTCTTTACCCAAGTGCCAGGACTAGAGGTTGTGCCACCACTGCCTGGACTCTATGGTTAACTAGTGCTCGCTCCACCCTCTGGTCTCCAGGCAAGCTTTGTCACAGCACAAACAAAATATCATATAACACATAGAAAGTTCCAAGACAGCCAAGAATGCATAAAGAGATCTTGTCTCAAAAAAAAAAAAAAAAGAGGGGTGGAGGAGCGAGAGAGAGATAGCTGCAGTAAGATCACTAGCTGCTCTGCCAGAGGACCCAGGTTCAATATCCAGCACCCATATGGCAGCTCACAACTGTAACTCCACTTCCAGGGGATCCAACACCTTCACACAGACATACATGCAAGCAAAACACCAATGCACAATTAAAAAAAAAAAGACAAGGTCTCTCATAACTCTGGCTGACTTTCAATTCACTATGTACTCAAAGCTAGTCCTGAACTTCTGATCTTCTACCCCTACCTCCCAAATACTGGGATTACTGCCAGGGACAACCATGATTGTTGGGGGGAGGGGTACGGTGAATATAGACGCCAGAAATCAACTTTCAGGTGTTTTCCTCAGTTGCTCTTCACCTTACTTCTTATTATTATTTCATGTGTGTGGGTAATTTGCCTGTGTGTATATCTGTTTCTGGTGTCTGTAGAGGGCTGAAGAGCGTTATTGATCTCTGGAACTGGAGTTAACAGTTAGTTAACTGGTGCTGTGGGTAGAATCCACCTCTAAAACAACCAGTGCTCTTAACCACAAAGTCATCCCTCCAGGCCCTTCACCTGGAACTAGCTCTTGTAGAGCAGGCTGGCCTCGAACTCACAGAGATCCACCTGCCCTCCCTCCTGAGTGCTGCAATTAAAGGTGTGCGCCACCACTGCCCGGCAAAAGCAACTTTTTTATTAACCAATGGCAATAAAACATATTCACAGCATACATCAGAAACCCTGTCTTGAAAAAAAAAAGATAGAGAACAAAGTCATCCCGACAAATCACGTGCAATAATTCTAAATAAATTGTCACAGAGCAAAGAAGGAGCATCTTTTTCGGAGTCAACTCCCTAATTGGTGGGCTGTAAGTTGCAGCTGCAAAGAAAAAATCATTCATTTTGCTATCTATCTAGAGAGGTAGTCTATAAAGGATTTTAAAGGAGCTATAAAACTAAACTACTAAAGAAATTGTGTACTGTATCCTATACTCCTGAATGTATAAACATTTTAAACTAACATTTTGTGGTTAGTGGTCATAAAAGCCAGGCTTTCTGGAACTTAGAGACTATCTGTTTATAGAAAACAATGTTTTAAAATCTTTTGTTCAGGGCTGGAGAGATGGCTCAGAGGTTAAGAGCACTGACTGCTCTTCCAGAGGTCCTGAGTTCAATTCCCAGCAACCACATGGTGGCTCACAACCATCTGTGCCCTCTTCTGGCCTGCAGACATATATGCAGACAGAACACTGTATACATAATAAATAAATAAATCTTTAAAAAAAATAAAATAAAATCCTTTGTTCAGGAGCTCAAAATTGTCATAAATCTCTTAATATCTGCTCAATGGTCACTTCTCAAAGCATATGTTTTATTAAAATACAACTGACAGGGTACAGACCATTGTCCCACGGCACCCCTCCCCCCTTTTTTTAAAGAACAAGAACTCTGAATCTACTAGCCTTTGTTTAGCTTTTCTCCTGACCATTATCCATAACAACTTGTAACCAACATTCTAAACAAAGGAAAATATCCATAGTCCATCTTTTAGGGGATATGGTCATAGTTTTCCAGGCTACTTCCTGCTGAATTGTGGTGCTGATAATCTTATGGGAACCTAAAGAAATTTATAATTATGATCAAGTCCGAACTGTAGTATCCTGTGAGACTTGATCATCTCAGACAGCATTTTTTTTGATGGAGCCAGCTGAGGCTTCTTTATTTTGGAAAATACAATTGAACTGGGTTTTGAGGGGAGTTGGGGGGTGGCTAGAGAGGTAAGCCTCTGATCCTCTGGTGGGTCTCTCCTTTCCTGTACTCTGACATACAGATGTCTCCTCCATGGGCAGCTTTAGGAGCCCAGGCTGGCAACGTCTCCAGGGGTCGTTCACTTGGGCAGGATATCAGAGGACTCAGACACCAGCTTCCCATCGCGGGTTTCAATCTTCTTCACAACCACAGCCT